AGAGCTGCTCGTTAATCAGAAGATCAAGAAGATCAGGCGGTAGCGTTCTCCATCAAGAGAAGGAAAAGTGGGAAAAGACGGAAAAGAGAAAAGAAGAATCTTTCTCGAGCCAAATTTATACGGTTGCGCCAAACTAACGACTAAATCTCGCTCTTCTTCGTAATATTGCGTCGATATTTGCGCGTATCATCTATATCTTCAAATATTGAAAAATCACTTTCCTTTGGCTAGGAAATGTCTGAAAACTCAAAACGCAACACGTGCAATATTTCGGCGAGGAGAGAATAAAGCGGAAAGAGTCTCTCTCTCTCTCTCTCTCTCTCTCTTTACCGAGATTCGATGGATCGAGACGGCGCAATACCAAGTCGGATTAATTATCAGTTATTGCTGGTGTGTTATGGCTGTGTGTTGGCAGTGGAGAAGAAGCGAAAATGAGAATAGAAGCGGGATCGAGAACAGCAACCGGTACGGAGAAACAGAATGGAGGGTAGAGAGAGAGAGAGAGAGAAGCTGTATCGGCAGCAGACCAATTAACTACTTATAGGGCAGCTTTCATCGGCTCGACAATCGAACGGATCGATCGATTCGGGGTGAATAACTTTTCTAGTCGCGTTCTGCGCGTACCGCGTGTATCGCGTAGAATCTACGACCGAGATGGATACGAACGAGCGCGCGCGCGCGTGTCCGTTTCCGCTCGTTAGGCTTCTTTCATACTCGGTCAGTTAACAGTCGGCCTTGCAAATCGACCCCGCCGTTTATTGATTCGCGAAAGCCATTCCGCGGATAAACAGACAGCACACGGAAGGATGAGAGCAGGATAATACGATGAGAGAAAACGAGTGGGAAACGGGGGGAGAAGAAAGCCAGAAAGGCAAGTAGTCCTTGATTCGAAATTAAACGGCAGAGAGAGAGTTCTATCTACCTGGGCTGGAAGCAGCGCTTATTCTCCTCCTACGAAAAGAAGGAGGGAAAAGCAGCAAGAGGAGAAGGATGGTACGATCTTTAGCTTCGCTATTGACACCGTTTTTGCCTCGTTGCCTTGTCTTGTGTCTTGTG